GAGTCTACTTACCAAAAACACAAATAGATTTCTGTTTATACTGTAACTTTCCCATTCAAAACTTTTGTTAGTATATATAAGAGAATTTATTGTTTATGGCTTTCTATGTTATAGATGAATATCTCTCAATACTGAATTGATTTAATTTTTATGATAAAAAAATAGTTAAAGGAACTAAAAGTATTTTGTTAGTTATAAACTCATTATCAGATTTTCATATGAAAGCTTATAAACTCATTATCACATTGTTTCCTCCGTAACAAGATGATAAGATAGAGGGTGATTAGCTGGTGCTTAAGACTTAAGATTTTCAGATTCTCTCTGCCCCCAAGTCATCACCTCTAGAGATTTGGTACATTATAATTGGATTCACAAACAAATAAATCCTAACACAGACATATACACATATATGCTTTAAAACTTGTTCTTTGTAGCTAGGAAGATCGATTGATACAAAATGTGGAGGCTTAGGATCGGAGCTGAGGCTGGACAAGACCCTCACTTGTTCAGCACCAACAACTACCTCGGGAGGCAGATTTGGGAATTTGATGCCTATGCAGGCTCTCCAGAGGAACTCGCCGAGGTCGAGGAGGCTCGCCGGAATTTCTCTGATAACCGGTCACATTTCAAAGCTAGTGCTGATCTCCTTTGGCGTATGCAGGTGAAAGTCTTTACAATAACTTAAGTTTGATTGACTAATAGGACAAGTATATAATTTTGTTTTGTTAAATTTATAAGTTTCTGAGGGAGAAGAAGTTCAAACAGAAGATTCCACGAGTGAGAATAGAGGACGCAGAGAAAATAACATATGAAGACGCAAAGACGACTCTAAGAAGAGGGTTACTCTATATGGCGGCATTGCAAGCTGATGATGGACATTGGCCTGCTGAAAACTCTGGTTGCATGTTCTTTATTGCCCCCTTTGTGAGCTACATTTCACTACTCTCTTAACTAAATTATATAGTAAAAAAGACAAATATGAGAAGAAAAAGATCAATGATTCAAAAAATATCAGGTCATATGCTTGTATATCACTGGCCACCTGGATAAAATCTTCTCTCAAGAGCATCGGAAAGAGATGCTGCGTTACATGTACAACCATCAGGTAGTATATAGAGTTTACGTGATTTAAGTTCTTTTTATCGAACACATCATTTATACCACGATATATATAGTCTAGTGGTTTGTGTTAGTGTAAAAATATAAACAAAGTAGTGAAACATGAGAAGATGATATTACAGAAGAGAAAAGGTATATATTGTTTGGGGAAAATACAATTTTTCAGTACCTTAAAAAATGAACCATTTCAAAAATATGTGCTAAGTGACTTCATTTTCTTTTATCCTTCTCCAAAATGGATCAAATCTTATTATCAAGAACGAAGATGGTGGGTGGGGGATACACGTAGAAAGCCACAGTTTTATGTTCTGCACGGTACTCAACTATATTTGCCTAAGAATATTTGGAGTAGAAGCAGATCATGATGGTGAAAAAAGTGCTTGCGCAAGGGCTCGTAAATGGATATTAGAGCACGGTGGTGCTACCTATACGCCATTGTTCGGAAAAGCTTGGCTTTCGGTATTCACGGCTCTCTGGTTATATATATATTTCACAAATCATCAATTTACTAATATTCTTTTTTTTTTCCATAAAAATTTAGGTTCTTGGAGTGTATGATTGGTCTGGCTGCAAACCTATACCGCCTGAGTTCTGGCTCATTCCTTCTTCTTCTCCTATTAATGGAGGTTTGAATTTGGACTTCCTGATATTCTGATGACATTAGTTACAATTATTTTCAATTTTAACTTTGTGTAGGGATATATTCATACCTGAGTGTGTGCAGGCACTCTATGGATTTATTTGCGGGATGTTTTCATGGGTTTATCATACTTGTATGGTAAAAAATTTGTAGCTGCACCAACACATCTCATTCTAGAGCTCCGTGAAGAGATTTATCCTCAGCCTTACGTGAGAATCGTTTGGAGCCAAGCTCGTAATCGATGCGCAAAGGTAACTTATTAAGTCATATACATGAAGTGATAAGTACAATGCATCGTATGAGTAGAAAAGCTTCAATTGTTTTAAACACAATTTCTATATTTACGTTTGTGTTTTACATGAGAGAAGAAGATATTTAAGGGAAAAAAATAATATTTTAGACATATAAAACATTTCTTTCTATAAATCACAAAATACTTCCGTTTGCACTTGTTGATTACTATTAAAAGTATAAGGTTGTATGTTCTTTCGAGAATCTAAGTACTAGTAAATGTAATCGTCAACACAAACAAACAATTAAACACTCTAAACATAAGATTAGATGTTACAAATGAATCTGATGATGCTATGTAAATACAGGAAGATCTCTACTTTCCACAATCATTTGTACAAGACTGGTTTTGGAAAATTGTTCATATGTTGTCGGAAAATATCTTCAACCTTTGGCCTTTCAGTAAATTTATAAGGCAAAAAGCTCTCCAGAAAACTATGGAACTCATTCACTACCATGACCAAGCCACTCGGTACATTACCGGTGGAGCTATCCCAAAGGTAAAAAAAATTCTCCTATGTAATAATAATTTGCAATTTTTTTAGATGTAACATGTTGTAAATGTCCCTTTTTGATATATTTAGCCATTTCACATGCTTGCTTGTTGGGTTGAAGATTCAGAGAGTGATTATTATAAGAAGCATATTGCTCGAGTCCCTGGTTTCATATGGATTGGCGAGGATGGCCTGAAAATCCAGGTTAAGTAGCTTTTTTTTTAATCTTTTAATTATAGTTTTCTTGATTTGACTCTGTACTACTACTTTTTCTTTTGGTTAATCTTTCTGTACTACTACTTGTGTAGACTTTTGGTAGCCAAATATGGGATACAGCCTTCTTGATGCAAGTCATGTTAGATGCTGATGTTGACGATGAAATTAGATCAACGCTCGTAAAGGGATACTCTTACTTGAGGAAATCTCAGCTTACAGAGAACCCTCCTGGTGATCATATCAAAATGTTCCGAGACATATCAAAAGGTGCTTGGAGTTTTTCAGACAAAGATCAAGGATGGCCTGTTAGTGATTGCATTTCTGAGAGTTTAAAGGTGCACGTTTTGTCTCTTTAATTCCTGCTTGAACTAACAAAAATTGTGTTCAACTTTAATCCTTGATAAATGAACGGATTTGGATAGTTTTATGAGTTTCCGTCTCAAAATCAATTAATGATGTCTGATGAGTGGATTAGTCAATGATCCTTATATTATATCTTTTGGTCTCATTTTACTCAGATATGAGATTTTTAACATGATTATATATTAATCAATCGCATATATATGTGGCCAGTGCTGCCTGATCTTCGAGAGCATGCCGTCTGAGTTCATTGGTGAGAAAATGGATGTGGAGAGGCTTTATGATGCCATAAATATACTTCTCTACTTGCAGGTAATAGTTAAAACAAAAATTTAAATTTATTTGACATTTCATTTTTATTTCTTTCAAATATAATAAGGAAATAGATAAATAAAGTGATATAGTGTTTTAGCAAAACAAAACAAAAAATGATATAGTGTTGTTTGAAAAATGAATAGTACTAATTAAGGGTATATTATTATTTTTATTAAACAAAATGTTAGTAATACTATTTGTTGGTTAAAGTTTTCTTGATAATATATTTGTGCAAAATGCTAACAGGGCAGTAACGGAGGTATCTCAATATGGGAGTCAGCCCCTGGTAAAACATGGCTAGAGGTACCATTTATTTGACAAAATAAATGAAAATATTACCGGAGTTTGTAATCTAGTGATTTGTACTATGACACGGTAAAAGGAAAATATAATACTATGTATGTATAACAATGCCTAAAAATAAATTGCAGTGGCTTAATCCCGTGGAGTTTGTTGAAGAGACAATCGTGGAGCATGAGTATACATACA